AGGCCAATATTTAGTTATTTATTCAGCCTAGCACGGTAACTAGGGTTGTTCGAAATAATCGATATTTCTTACTTGACCTTTTTTTACTTGATATTAATTGTACGATGTCGATTTCATGTTATTTTTTGGTAGCTGTTATTATAATTTTATTTGAAAGTATATCCACTTATTTTTTTGACTTATGACACCAATATATAGTTAGGTATTATCACTGGCTGTTGACAATGGTCATCATTGATGTCTGGACTGGACTGGTCTAGACTGGAATGGACATATCATGAGATTGTTGTGAATTATGAACCATATTGTTTAATAGGAAAGATATTTTTTGTTTGAAAATTGAACATTTCATGGTATAAGCCAGTAAACGAGCAGACGGATCACCTGTAAGCAATCGACGTCGCCTGACGTCGCCCATGGACACCTGGAACACCAGAGGCTTTGCAAGTGCTTTACCGGCCTTTTGGGATTAGGAATTTGAGGATTGTTGGGGATTCAAGGATTGAAGAAGGAGGGAGGGGGTGTAATTGGGCTGGCTATTTATTTATTTATTTATTTATTTACTCCGGTAACCTCACTCACACGACTAAACACAACGCAAGCGTAGTTTAACGTCGGTTTTCTGTGAGGCCGTGGTAACTCCAGTCAAGCCGGCCCATTCGTGCCGAAGCATGGCTCTCCCACACTTTATTTATTACAGGTTCTGTCAGCCTATGTGTTGTTCCAAATTTCATCTTGATCCCTTGAGCTGTTTTTATGGGAAGGTGTAACAAACTTTCGTATTTATAATATTAGTGGAATTAGATTTTACCAGCGTGAATTAGTCCATGTCTTCTATACTCTAGCTCATTCTCAATTTCGAAATTATAACAAGATCGGTTCTTAGGTTAAGTGGCAAAAGACAAAAAAACAAACAATGTTACTTTCGCATTTGTAAAATACGTTGACGTAGTTGGCATCATAGAACCTGAAACTTATCGTACCTATGGCGGTTGCAAGCGTATCTTAAGTCTCTGTTAAAACACAACTAATTACTTTAATATTTTCAATCGAAAATTTTAAAACATGCTATAAAAATACCTACTCATAATACATCGTTCGTAAAGTGTTGTGATTATCGTCTGCTCATCGAATATCGATAGGTACCTAGGTCGAGTTATCGAGTGACGTCAATAACCATGAAGGGCGGGCATCGCTATCGACTCGAATTTAACATAAAATCGATAAAATATTCCCCTCTAGTCTGCTCGATAAATGTTTTACAACTTATCGGGCGGTTATGGAGTTGTTCTCGATGAATTTAATAAATAGTTTTTCGATGTTTTACATTTTTAATTAGCTAACTTTAATTAATATAGTTCTTGTTCCGATTTTAAAGCCGGCGGACTAGAATACACTTGTCAACACCCTAACTCTTCCCTCGTGTTTTTTTTTTAAATTGGGAAATTCGTCCAATTATTACTTCTCCCGCCTTGGGTGGAGTGTCAGACTCTTACTGACTAAAAACCACCCCGTTCCTAGTCCTGCTCTTCAAGCCGGAGCCCCGGCAACCCGTTAGGCCTTCCGCGGCTCGGGCATTAGCTATACTGGGCCCCATCTGTGGTGGTCTGATGGCTCTTTGAACCGCTCGCGGAACGCGACGCGCCGTACGCACGGGTCTGGGTCTGGTCGGGCGGCGAGCTACCGTCACCGTCCCCAGACCCGCACACTCTTCCCTCGGATATCGTAAGATCGGGGACTACGCGTCTCATGACAAAGTGCAGTCAGCGGCCTTCTAATAAACCTGAACCTTTCGAAGTATGATATCCAACCCGCAGCGTTGTGGCAAACTCGTATGTAGAGGAAACCATTCCATAGCCCAGATTCTCTTTTGATATCTACGATTTTAGATCGCTGTTGTCACTTCTATATCATGCGGTCTGTTGTCACTTCTATATCAAAATTATGGATTGAGCTCAAAAACAATATCCTCATTGGGATTTCATAGCAGCCACGAGCCCGCTACATCGCTACGAAGTTTCGTAGCATGGCTACGAATTATGTTTTTTTAATTGTTTACTCTATGGATTTCACATTAAGTATCTTCCATCTTGTTCCATAAATATAATATTATTCCTGGAATGAAGTAAATAATATAACATCACGCTTGTTATTAAACGAGGAAATTGTTGTAAGAAGTTGTAGTAACTAGGTACTAGTTTTGTATTCCAACCTCTTTCGTTACTAACTTTACTATATGTTTTGTTCCCGTTTTTTGTAAAGCTAGGATTTTCAAGAAAGTATTTAATTAGATAAACTAGGTATTAATTTTTACAGAATGATGACAACATTTTCTCTTCATTATAATAATTACCATTATTATTTCGGAGATACTGGCAAACAGTACAAAACAAATAACTCTGTTTTGAAGAAGGACTATTCTGGATTTTTGAGCGTTTATTTACCGCTGCAACAAAAATGACCTGAAACCTGAGTAAAGACCTAGTTTCTGATCAATGTATGATATTCATATATCTTAATAATTACCTACTTAAAAAAGTCTATGTTTGTTCTCAGAAAATGAGTGGGTACGGCACAAGTATGTCGGGTAGCGGTGACACAGACGCGCTGGCGCGGAGGCTACGCGACGCGGAGCGGGCGCGCGCAGACGCTGAGCGGGCGCATGCGGACGCACTGGCCCAGCTCCGCGCCGCGCAACGATCGCCCATAGACCAGCACAACGTCGAACAACTACAGTCTAGAGCCAGGGAACTTGAGAAAAAGGTGAAGTAGCCTGACACTTTGATGCCGTTTTATCACATGAAAGGATAAAATTACCTTTAGATTATACCTTATCATTGCTGTTGTGTTTATATTCCATATTTATTGTTAGTACTGAGAATTTACGTATAATTATATCGGCAAACCCAAAAAAAATACCTTTCTAATTATTATTCATGATTGGTGCAGTCAATCCAAACTGAGACTGATCGACAGTTGTGCTTACAACCATTGAGTTTTTTAAGATTATAACTTAATATCAGAAACTTATGATTAATTCCTTTCCAGGCTGCCCTAGAGACAGTCCGGTGCGAAGAGCTTCAGCTAGAACTGTCGGCAGCATTGCGCGCGCGTGGCCAGGGTGGCGTCACCACGTGGTCCAACCAGTCGGCACAACCTGCCTCCGAGATCGAGAGGATCATGGCCAAGATCGAGCAAGACAACCGCATCCTTGCTGAATTAGAACATACGAGGTCGACCACTCATGGTATGTCACCAACTTCATTTCTAACAATATCATTTTTTTTATAGATAAAACATTGGAGAAAATAATATTGAAGAATCTTATGGTTTGTCAGGTATCCAATCGAGTGGATCGAACCAGGCGTTAGGGGAGTACCACTCCCCGACTCCATCACCACTGCCCCACTCGTACGGCAGCACGGCAGGCCATGCCGCCATCTGCCAGAGCAGCACCATGCCCACGCTGTCCTCACTCCACGCCACTGGACAGTTCACGGCCCCCAGCTCCAACTCCGTCGCATACTCCATGAGCGCGCACAACCCGACCTCGTATTCGAACCCCGTGTCCGCCTACTCCAATACTTACGGCCTCCCCAACACCCACCAAGTCACGTTCACCAACCCCGTCACAGCACCACTCGTCAACAATATCGGTCAAATCTCAAGCACACTAGCTGGACTACAGAGTAACTTACAAAACTTAACTGGTAATGTGACATCCCTCAACCTGGGCACCGGCATCGCGCCGGGCATGACGGGGACTATATCCGGCTCGGGCTTAACTAGCTGCTTGAACAATGCGCAAACCAATCTATCAGGCGGACTGACGAGTACGTTGGGTGGACTCCCGTCAACGTTAACTAGTGGGTTAGGAAATGCTCTCTCGAACTTGACTGGAACGCAACTTGGAGGGCTTAATACAAGTTTAGGCGCTACGAGCGCTTACGGAACTGGGACAGGGACGTATACAAATCCCCTCCTCTCCGGCGGACTCGGAACAAATCCTATGAATATAAAACTTAAACCTCTAGATGATATAGACCTCGGTATCAGTAGATATGCGAACACGGCGGGAGTGGGGCGGGTGGCCACGCCGGTCACGCCTCACCAACCCGCCTGGAATTTAGGTTTAGATAGCCAATTTGCAACTGATAGACTAGGCTTAGACTCTGGATTCAGCCACGATCGGAACCAACGAGCTATCGCACGGATTATGCCTAACACCGGCATGGATTTGGAAGGTGAGTGAAATTCAATTTTCTTCGTATTCTTTGTAAAAGGAAAACGTTTTCAGTGGTGCACATGTTTCAGTTCGCAATTCATCACACTATATGAATGGCGCCACAGAGACAGTTGACATGTTGGATATACCGGGGAAGGGTCGCTGTTGTGTGTACATCGCTCGTTTCTCTTACGACCCTCCTGAGTAAGTATGGAGCTTACTTGAATTTGAGACTGCATTAAATTGAAACTGTCATTATGAGTATTAATATTTTTAGAATTGAGAGTGCGGAAGGTGAATTGTCGATAAGTGCTGGGGACTATTTACTAGTATGGGGCCCCCCAGACCCGAATGCATCGATGCTTGACGCCGAATTATTGGATGGACGCCGTGGCTTGGTACCCGCCAACTTCGTCCAAAGGTTGATTGGAGATGACCTGTTAGAATTCCATCAGGTGAATCATAGATTATTTTAAATAGATATAAACTTAAAATACTAAACTTTTTTGATGGACCATTGTATTTGTATCTACTTTCTTGTTTAATTACGACTTACTTGTTGTGCTTAAAAAACTTGAGTGTAGTTATGTTGTCACATGATTTACTACTGTGCACAATATTTCATTCAGCAACAAAATGTTTTCATACATGTCTACTCTTTACCCTCAGGCGATTGTGTCGACATTGAGAGATGTCGATGAAGCAACTACAGCGATAAGCGAACTGTCTATCAGTCGCGATGTCGCTCGCTTAAGCGAAGTTGCAGAGTTAAGCGATGGAGCAGAAGACGATGATAATGGTAAGCATCCACACATACAACTCCTTACATAGAATACAATTGGCACAAACATAGAACATAGTCTAGACAGTATTTAAAATCTAGCAATCATTTCGAAATGTTTTATTAGAATTTAATTGAGAAGATTTAGAAGCAAGTCTAGCTATAGAAGTAAAATGTAACTTAACTACCAGATGACATCATTAAGCGAAGTTTTACATACGCATGCAATCCAAACGCATCGAGCACTGAACTATCATAACACATAGTTTCAAACAACCATGACGCTTGGCACAGTGATTCAAATTCAACGCTACACAAACGACCTATGACGGTCTTCGTAAACGATCATTTTTCTAGAAATAGTTCTATAGTCGAACCTTTATCCCTCCCCCTTCCCTATCCCTGGACTTCGCTGCACGCTTCTTCGCATTCTCACGCACTTCGCCTGCCTGGCCGCACTCCTCGCGATGTTCCCTCGGACCTCAACAGCCGAGCTGTTTTTCTCGTCGCTAGTGCCGGCACCGAGGCAGCTCACACTGGAGAGGCAGCTCAACAAGTCCGTGCTCATCGGCTGGACTGCTCCTGAAGGAGTGCAGCAAGCCAACATCGAGAGCTACCACGTGTACGTCGATGGAGTACTCAAGACGACTGAAGGCCTCAGAACGCACACGAGCGCTCGTGGAAGGAGTAGACTCAAATCGGGTGAGTTTGTTTCGATGTTAAATTAGCTGCTACTTCTGTTTCAACGGTAGTCTCTTTTACATGTTACCAGTGAGCACAAATTCATTTAGATTGTCTTCGATTTCATTGTTGCTTATAGATTGTATATTTCTGTATTTATATTGTAATAAATTATTAAGTGTTCACCAGTTATATGATACTTTTATTTCTAAAGCCGCATCGCATCAGCGTGCGGTCGGTGACAGTATCGCGACGCACATCAAGAGACGCAGCTTGCACAATGGTGATCGGTAGAGACACAGCCAACATGGGCCCAACTTGTGTCAGGGCCAGTGGAGTGACCTGCTCCCAGGCGGTGATCTCGTGGCTACCCGCTAACTCAAACCACCAGCACGTCGTCTGTGTTAATAACGTTGAAGTAAGCACTTGTTAAGGTAAACTTTTTTCAACGTCACGAGGAAGGGACTACACAGGGTACTATTGATTACAGGTTCGAACAGTGAAACCAGGGGTGTACCGTCATACTATCACAGGTTTATCACCAAGCACACAGTATCGGGTAACCGTAAGGGCTAAGCATTTAAGAGCTGGTCCACCACAGTCTGGGATTCCGATCGAAGAGGCTCCGGGAGCTTACACAGACTTCAGAACTCTGCCTAAGGGACTGCCGGACCCACCAAATGAAATTATGGTACGTGAATAGTATAAACTCCAACAGTCAGCATGACGTGAATTGAGCATGCTTTTTGGATATCCAAACTATACCTACATCTTACACTCACAATCCTTGCTCGCTGATGTTATATGTATCTATTTAGTCAGGAATCAGAATTATACCCATCACACAGTGGATAGTGGAAAATTATACATTCTTAGAATAATAATAAATAACATTAAATAATGCTTTTCATGACCGTAACTATGTGAGCGTTTTTAGCACGCACAAGGTAGCTTTCCAATGCTCCACGACAGTGTGATGATACAATCCGAAACTCACAGAGTCCGACTGATACACCTCTATTCCTTTCAAATAATTCACAACCTCAAAGCACACAGCACGTCTCGAGGAAGTCGCGTCAATCGCAACCATAAATCCAGCTCCAGGAAAATTATATTGACATATCCCAACGCTCACCTCGTTGTTAGCTTAGCGACCCCCATTTGTAATGTCAGCTACTCCCTCGATGTGGCTTAGTTCAACGTTGGCCCACATGTTAACAAAGTTGGAACCAATTGGCTTGCCTCACGTTTGTTGGCTGGATTGTTGGTGGTGATTGGTGCGGTGTCGCAGGTGGAAGCGGGACCTCAGGACGGGACCCTGCTGGTGACTTGGCAGCCGGTCCTGCGCCCGCCCGCCTCGGGCCCCGTCACTGGGTACGCTGTGTACGCCGATGGCAAGAAGGTGACCGACGTGGATTCTCCAACCGGTGACCACGCTCTCATCGACATTGGCAAACTGATCGGCCTCAATCCTAAATGTGTCACCGTGAGTATGGCTGTATGGAGCTTGATTTGGCTATGTGAACGCTATGTTAGCAAATAGATATATGGAGACGTTTATCTAATTGTTTACATTTGTGTTGAGAAACTAATTAAACGATTATATTTTTATGGCTATGTTATTGTTTCCAGGTACGTACAAAGTCTCGAGACAGTCAGTCTAGTGACAGTGCACCGACGCCGATACCCCCCGCGGTCCTGCGCGGTGTAGCGACGCGCATGCCGCGCGGGCCAGGGCCGGGGCCCAACCAGCCGGGCCCCGTAGGGTACCGGGGCGGCCCCGTGCAGCGCCCCCAGCCCTACCAGCACCACCAGCAAGTTATCGAGCACGATGAGAATCTCTCCGATAAGGAGATATTCCCATCTGCTAACAGACACGACCCACACGCAGCTCAGGTGATCAAACACTTTTATCTATCCTATCTGTTGTCCCTTTACGATGTTTGTAATAATATCTCGCTATGTCTAATACAATGGATTCTCTGTCCCATCGAATTGGCTATAAATACAAATTTTAAATTTCAAAAATATTACATTCATAGTTTTCTATATTTCACACATTTATTGAATTTTATTTTGCTATCAGAATTGGAATTTTGAAACTTTGTCAAAATTTTTAAACTTGAGCTCTTGAGTATTATAATGTGTTGAGATTAATGTTGATCGGCATAGCCTTTGTCTATTTGGTTTGCAAATCAATGTTGTACATTTGTGTGTAACGTCAAGTTTCATTTTGCCAGTTTATTTCGTTGAGACGTTGATTAAGTATTTAATATGTGCTTTATATTTTTGATTTTAACTCTGATAATTTTCTTCGTCTGTGTCTTCTTAGCTATCATTATAAAGATCAGTGTCATATTATGCTCTCTTCTTGCGCAACAAACTGTCTGTTCGTGCAACTTGTCCGCCTCCATTGCCTCCACCGTGACATTAACGTTCAGTAGCAGTAGTCCGCAGTGTGTGTGTGCAGACAGTTTGTTACGTGACATCGGTGTTGCAAACTGCACTCTTTATACTATCTCCTGTGGTTCTGTCGCTGGCATCTTCTAAATGTCCAGTATTTAGTTCTCTGCCGACGGTTTCACGACACGACCACCGCGCCATCGACTCTAGCTATGCACTCGGCTCGATCGTTCAAAATTAAATGCATACTGCTTGCGACTAGATCCGTAGTCTCTAGAGCTATTGGCCGATACCCGACAACGCACGACACCATACAAATACAACTTAGAACAGATAAAAAGGTTGTACTTTGTGACACAGACAATACCGCCCATGAGATGTGATCATGCCACTTAGTGTAACCTTACCCTCGCTCTCTCACATAACTGTTATACACCTTTCCATAGCCTACGAGTGGATTCGGCACAGGCCTCCTAAAGAGTATATTCGACAAAATAACCCCTTCGGTAAGGAATTTTAACACGTCTTTTCATATTTATCATTATTTATTTAATTCTGGAATTTACACACGACTGTTTTATTTAGCGTTCTATGAAATTTTATTTTAGTTTTTAAAGCGTTATTTTTTGGTTATTAGTTATGTAAAATATATTTTCTTTTATTATTTTTGATTGAATATTTTATTATAACACAGTGTGCCCGTATATATACAAATAGTGTCATAATACAATATTGTAGCCATATAATCAGCATATGAAGACAATATTTACTTTGAGTATGCTTTTATATTTATCTGAAAGTAGACAAAAATATGTAGAAAACAAGTATCCTAGCTAAATGCATATATATTTTATAAAGAAGACTAACTTTTGGAATCGAGACACTGTTTAGCAGTTGTACGATTTTCAAGAAACATAGATAGACTTACTACAAGTAAATAATAGCTTCAATAGAAAGGGTTCCTTTACAATACTGCTATGAAATATAAACCACTTAATATTATAACTTAGGTGTGGTCGATTCAAGTTATTGCGTTAAAAGATTTTTCATTACAGTTCACGACTCATAGACATAAATACATCACTCATATGCCCAAATATTCAAACGCCACCATACTTTACGGAGTTAGTGGCTACATAGCATACGGTGACTGAGACAGCATGATTTAAATGAAATGAATACGTAGCGTTTTAGTATTCGGGCGGTGGACATTAACACATCATCAATGTAACCGAACGTGAAGATACTAAACAATCGTGCGTCTGACACTAGGTTCGAATCACGTCGAATGAAAGCCGATCGCTTACACGGCAGTGAACTTCTATTTTCCACTTCAGCTTCCTGTACAGGCTTCACTTGCTCTAACGCCTGATATATTAACTTGTGGTGATAACTACTATGTAAGTCACTCTTAAGCAGCTTCTACTGAACCGCTTAATCTTTCCGTACTTATATATCGTGTACTCCTGTTTGCTTACAAAGTAATAAAGTAATCTCAAGAAGTACCCACACAGAGGAGCAAGAACACGTCGATATATTGCGAGCACCATAGTCATCAATATCGCTCATATCAGCACAACCATTACTCACTATATTTTGTGTCGCTACTAAACCAACTGTGTATATGCTAAAATATTGAATGACCGTGTGGTATTAGCAATCGGGGATACCGGCCATCGAAATCACTAAAGAGAGCACGACGGAGCCTGGTAGCGAGGACGAGGAGGCGACGCGCCGCCGCCCGCAGGTCTGCGATCTCTCCTAGCCATCGATGTGCTCTCCATGTGCTAGCACTATTCACTATGCTCTCTTTCTCTCAATTCTGTACGATCTCCCGATCACGAGTTTCTGAGTTTCACTTCTCGGTGTTCTGTGTTGTCATCTTCACTTACTGTACCGTCCTCGATGTTCGCCACACACCACACTGGTCCGCCACACACGCGTCCGACAGATAGGAGGAGCTAGGCGGTAGGCACAGAGCACTCGATACAGACCCCACACTGGAGCATGTTCCGCGCGTGTTTGTATATTGTTCCTGCATGCTGTCTTGGCTTCGACGCGTATCAATGCCGTACACTGACTCCTCTCACACACCTCCCACACTTCAATGTCTCTATGTTAACAGATAAGGTAATCAGTTTATGAGGGGACATCGGTTGACGAAACTTTCCGTTAATGTTGAAGTTCAATTTAACTTTTGTTTTGTTAAACTTGTGACAAGCACATTTGGAACCGACTGTTTATAATTATATCTGCTATGAATGATGTGGTTTCAAGTGTAAGCGCTGCACGCTAGCTTTCGTTGTGCATGGGGGTTGACTAGAGCTACAACGGAATGTCTTGTTTTTCTTATCGTCCGAGGAAAAGGTAATATTTATATCGCTTTGAGACGCAACGCCACTGAGGATAATGGCTATGAGCTTGTTGGATTGCTGTTGGCTTTGTTATGGAAAATCTAACCTTATTAATGTGTTGGTTCGTACGGACGTCAGCAGCAACCGTCCCAACCAACGCAAGCGTCGCAGCAGCAATCGGGTCAGCCGTACCCGAGTACACAAGCCTACCATGGCACGCAGCAACCCCAATATCCACCAGCCGGCCAGTTCCAAAGTAACCCGGCGTACCCCGGGGCGGGCGGGGGCCCCGGCGCGCCGCAGCAGTACCAGAACCCTCCTCCCCGCAACCACCACGAGCGAGGCCGCCCTCCTAACCCTCACCAGGTCGGACATCACAACGAGCAGGCATGCATTCCATTCTATTACACTTTAGACCCCTTTGTTTCCAATTCAATTATATGTTGTACCCTTTACTGTGAAAAGCACTCTTTCCTTGAATGATAAGTGACGTCATCTCTGTTTAACAAGTATATTACTATAACGTACAGCAACAACAACAGCAGCAACAACAACAACAGCAGCAGCAACAGCAACAGAACCAGCAGGGCAGCGGCATGCAGTACACAGCGCGCGGGGGCCCGCCACCGGGGCCCCGCGGGCCCCAGCCGGGCGCCAGGCATGCACAAGCCCATCCTCAGTCGAAGAGAAGCCGCTACTTCATCGCCCTATTTGACTACGACCCAACCACCATGAGCCCGAACCCTGAAAGCTGTGACGAAGAACTGCCATTCAGTGAAGGAGATACTATCAAGGTGAGAAGCCTATACTAAAATGTCGTTTATTAAATTCTAGAAAAAATCCTATATTTAGCTGTGATTAACGAAAAATTATTTAACTTCTCAGGTTTGGGGTGACAAAGACGGCGACGGTTTTTACTGGGGCGAGTGTAGAGGTCGCCGTGGCTACGTGCCTCACAACATGGTGATGGAAGTGTCGGAACAAGAGGTCACTGGCCAGCCTCCCAAGCGAGACCGCTGGGCCGACGCCTACGCCAACCAGCCAGTAAGACGCATGGTCGCACTCTACGACTACGACCCTCAGGAACTCAGTCCCAATGTGGATGCAGATGTAAGTATCCTTCTCGTTTCTTTCCTTCAACACAAAATAATAATTAAATAAGAACATTTAGCTATAGACTCCACATACACTGGCCTTCAATATGGAAGAGAAAAATCGTAGGCCTTCATTTCTTTTAATTTATAACCGTAATCACTCTAGACATTTTTTCGAGAAATTTATGAAACCTTCACGGATATTATTCACTGGTGAGTTGACCAGCTTCTTTGGTTTTGCCAATAACTTTTATGTGTGAACAACTGAAAAAAGCTTTAAGTGACCTACACTGTCCTGTCAATCTCTTATTGCTCCGTTACCTTCAGGAATGTTTTGCCATTATTCCTCTTAGCTTCAATTTTCGATATGTGCTTAATTGCTCTTTCTTGTGTTTTGTCCCGTTACCTATTGACGATGTTCTGATTTTTTATATAATTATGTCAAGTCTACTTTTCCCTGTCTTGCAATTCTATCCTGTACACTATATTATTCTTAATGTTCAAATGCTATTTCTAAATGTTTATATCCTTTTAGTATTCTATTGTAGTATTACCAACTCTACATTTCATTCAAAATTGATTTTTTGTCACTCAGAAACTTTTCCAGGCTGAGCTGAGCTTCCAAACGGGTCAAATCATCCACGTGTACGGAGACATGGATGACGATGGGTTCTACATGGCTGAAATTGACGGCGTCCGTGGTCTTGTTCCGAGCAACTTCCTCGCCGATGCAAACGACCAGTACGGGGCACCTGGTCAGGGCAATCAAGGTGTGTGCAAGTTATATTTTATTTGCTTTATAGACATTAGTTTTATAGACGAAAGTAGGTGCTTCAGAATAAATATAATTTAATAAAATAGACTCTCATATGGATAATTTAGAATAATCCCTGAAACAAAAAGCTTTCAATGGGACTTTTTTGAGTATCATATCCATGGTTAGATGGATCAGCATTGGTGTTGGGTGCAGGGGTCGCGGGCATGTCGTCGGGCGCTAATGCAGGGCGCGGGGCGGGGCGGGGGCGCGGCGCCGGTCCACTGCCCGGGCCGGGGGCGCGCGGGCCCCCGCCCCCGCCGCGCGAGAACGTGGCGCACCACGGGGCACACGGGGCCCACGGCGCGCATGGGGCGCAGGCCGCGCCGCGTAACCAGCACCGCCGCGCAGGTACGACAGCGCCCTCTATCTGCTCCTTACACTTCCCGGAGCTGCCACTGCTGCTCTCGCCCTCGCTCCCTATTTTAATACTAAGCCGGGTCGGTCGGCTCGTCGATGATGGAAGAGCGATGCGCACGCTTTAGGCAAAACCCTGTTAGAGCCACCCGGCACTTACATGACACGAACTAGTATGTTTCGTCCTGCTTATCAGTTCCGTCGAGTAAAATATCCGAAGTTTGATGAAGTCCTACTTGAACATTGACTTCAAAAGACCGTATACCGAAAGTAGCCCTGATCGAATCGCTTTACAAAGAGATCGCCGAGCCGACCTCCCTTAGGTAAGTTCGGTGAAGACGTGTATCTTCACCGTCCACCGAGAGCTTTGAGTGTTTCATGTTTGCACCTTGGACTTGCTATGTGACTACTGAAAGACGCTAGCTATTTCGCTCTGGAACCCTCTTATCATCTTTCCTGTACACTTTCGATTGCGACGGGACTCGCTCTGCGAGTTTGTGTTTTAGATTTTCCATTCCGTTTTGCCTCATTGCCTCCTTGAAACTCATTGGCCTTTCCAAAAAATAGACATTCCTTTTAAAATACAACTCTGGATTTAATTAAAAATATTGTTTCTTATCAAAATTTCCTTTCCATTGAATCCTGGATTGATCCAAGTGTGTCAGTGATGGTAAAACGGAATGTATGAATGCGAGTCCGGTTGCAATCTACGGAGCACAAAGACTCTTGGTGTACACTTTGCTAATGAACACTCTATCTTGGATTACACAGTCACAAACATCGTTCGAAGAGGTTCTGATTCCATACAAAGACTTGCAACAACAGGTGTGTCCTTGTTACCAAACCACACTACTCAAAGCCACGCCGCTAAGACTTGAGGATACCTTATTTTATTTTCATCTATCCAACTCTCTATCCTATTATTATGTTTTGTTCGTCACACGGTATACCCTGGCATTTAGTCACACAGCGGGTAGGCTGGTCGTACAAATAAATACACGCAACATAATCTCGCTCTGAACCCACGGGTGTTCGTGAGGTGTGATCCAAGATTCAAGTGGTTGTCTGTGGTCACTATATATGTTGTGTGTATTGTCTGTTTGCTAGATGCCTGCCCTCCTTCCTCTATGTTAGACCACAACACATGCGCCAGTAATCCAGAACAGGCGAATTCTCAGGTAAAAATACCGTTTGTAATCGACCCACAACAATACTTTCAAATATACTATGCAACGATACTAGACGTTTTTTGTTCGACTGTCACTTCATTATCTTTAGATTTTATTTTTTCACTATTTCCTTTTTCTTCATTTATTTCTTTATTATCTATATTTACCTTGCGTTTCATAACTACGCTCAGTGTACAGAGGGCATCTGGTACCGTGGCCGGCTCGGTCGCTCGACTCTCTCGTCCACCGCGTGGTGGACTGGCGGTCATATTGTTTACACATCATTAGCTGTCATCGCATACCAGACCAATCATACAGAGACTAGTACAGAACATACACTGGCGTACTTCACTCACATCAGATACCATAACCCATTCACCATGTTACTACAATCTCTGAGGCCTGTGAATGTGGTCCGTTACTAGACGATTGCGTTGGTGATGACGCGTGACGTCACGTTACTTTAGCAACCTCTTTGACGTTTATGTGACAGCTCTTGTCTATCATTACGTAATCGAATAGTATACTCTAATTCGAGCTTAATGTTGTAGTTTAACGAAGCATGACGAATGTACTGAATGAATTGACTTACCCTTAACGATCTGAGCTTCTATTACGACCCCGATGATTAATTTCTTCTAAAAATGTTTAAAATATTGTGAATGTTGGTTGACAAAACTGGTCAACCACTTTCTTTTTAAAATGCCACCTGCTTTGTTTATGGCAATGCATGTTTTTTATTGCACAGTTTTTATACTATATTGATGTGTGTAATATGATATCTGTAAATAATAATGTTTTGTCTCAATATTGTATAGCATGATACACAGAGTGACTTAGGTATTGATGTAAGTGTTCTTTATTTACCTATATGTAAATATTTTAAGACACGCATAGTTTATACTAATATTATAAGCAATGCCCTAACTGTTTAATTAAAAATGTACTTGTAATTATGAGCGAGATAACCTTTGAAGTAAATGCTTATCAGATCTTTGAAACTTCAAATAATATCAGGCACCAGTCCCCAGTCATTATACCTATATCTATAAAGCTTGTTGCATAACTTGATTCACAAACTTTGATCACGCTAATCAAATTTTATTATTGAAGCGTTTTAACTGTTTTGGGAATGTTTTACGTTCGTATCATTTGATTTCTCATGCGTTTATGTGGGTTGATTAGAACTTTGAGGAGAGTGGATCCCAAAACAGATAGAACGTAGTAGCACAAGCAGTGCAGTATGTGAGATATATTTGGCGACACAGGCGAGGGCGAGAGGCGCGGCGAGCGGGCCGGCGCCGAACACGATCGCGCGCACGAGCGCTGGTAACACCGGCACTCCGCCCGTGCAGTCGCCCGCCGCGCCCCCGCCCGGCGCCGCCCCCGGGGGGCCAGGGTCGCTGGGGGCGCTGGGCGCTCCGACCCCCGCCTCGCCGGCGCGGCGCGCAGGCCCCGCCGTGGTGCCGGCGCCCAACGTGCAGGTTCCCGCGACGTCGACCCCGGCCACGCAGCCCAACCTCATGCAGAAGTTCTCCGAAATGACGGCGCCGGGAGGGGACATCCTCAGCAAAGGCAAAGAACTAATTTTCATGAAATTTGGGCTGGGGGGGAAATAGTAGCGGTGGCCCCTACGGACTGGCTCATGTGCTTAGTTACTGTCGTGGCCGTGCTGTGGGGGGCCCTGACGCTGGGCACGGTGTTGCCAGGGCTTCTCTCCACTCTGTTCAGAGTGCCGCTGCGCTGGTACTTGCCTGACGCAATTAGGAGATGTTGTACATAGTAAATTTCAATAAACGCACAGTCTAGTGAATATTCCGAGTATTAGTGCTGTCTCAATAGCATCCTCGGCTGGAGTCCGCGGGCTCCCGGCTAGTCGTGTACCCGATGCTTTCTATATCTTGGGCTCACGTCCATCTGTTAGGTTAGATTATGATATCGAGTGAATTGTTTACACATTATCGGATCTGCATTATTTACTATGTGTAGGAACAGTTGTAATGTTATTATATACTAGTTATTACTACACGATCCTTATGGCATAGAATTGTTGTGATTTTCTACGTTACGTTTTTGATCGCTAGCTGTGACTTACCTGAGTGTATCCTAAATGAGTAGTTGAAACTTAAATGTTTATTTCACCATGTTTCAATGTAAGAACTATTACTGTTAATGTTATCAATACAAATATTTATTAGATAATTTCAATACTTCGAGCAATATTGCAGGCAACGTGATGCTGCTGCGACCGTCCCATTGACCAAAACTTCAATCAATACTAACTGTTAATGAATTTCTATGAAGGAACCTTTAACTGTCCCATGAACTCCATTTGTGATCAATATATTACATAGTACAATTATAGATCGGCCTCCGCCGTCGAAGACGTCATTAAGTCATCTATATAAGTAAGTCGTTCCCCTGTGTAAAAATGACATTATTGAATAAAGTTATTTGTATATCTAAATCCTGTTCACTAAGTTAAATAACTTGTATTACATACTATACGAATACGACAGTCTATATGTAAATCTTGGGAAGATGTAAGTATAGGTCAATAGGTGCCTACTGAGATTTGCCGACGCCCGATCGTAATGTCAAACTGCTGCATCTCAATATACTTACATGATAATATATTTTGAATAAGAATTGTGTAAGCGCATTAACTTTATATGCTGATTCTTTGATTATTCTCGAAATAATAATATTCTGTGATAGTAGACGTGATACCATCTTTATCATTCTTAAATATAATACCTACTTAACAGTACTGCGTCATTCGTCACTTGTAACAACTTATTGCTAAACTTAAGTATCTCAAGATGTCTAAATACTTGTTTCATGTGCGTATAGATGTACATTCTGTTAACGAAGCATTCCTTGCCAGCTTTTTCATGGACGAGCTAAGACTTTTAACAAAATATAATATATATATTATGAATTAATTAAAACGTTGTTAAAACATGTTTCGTTTCGAAACGAGTTCAGTTTCCCAGTCGACCTCCGCTTAATTCATTTAAGAAAATATCATACAATTTTGATATGGAGTTTTTAATAAAAAAACATCATAGAATGTGTAATTCTTATCGTAATCTGTTGGCGTGGGAAGCGACATGTAACGTAAAGAATGTTACTGTCATTTCCACCCGACAAAAGACTGCTTGCATGAAATATTATTACTTTTAGAAAATATATAGAATTCGTTAAAATAATAATATACTTCATTGCGACACAGACGTGTTAGATAAACAAAATATTATTGAGACGGTGGACGTTTCATACTTTTGATTAATAAATAAATAAATATATAAAGTTATGAATGAAAACATTCGACCTGACCCATGTATGGTCCCTGCGTAGCGACGTTGGATGAAATAATTTATAAATGTTCTCAAGTTGTTGTTGTACATATTGGTCGGTAAGGTCGCTTGAACTAGCCTATACTTGGAGATTGCTCACTTCGTACAAGGGATTCTCTTTAAGTCCTTTATATTGCTTCGTATCTATCCAAACAAAGTTCTCGCTCTCGTGTATTTCAACGTTTTCACGTATAAATCCAGAATTAGCTTTCGATTCCTAGTTAATCACTCGTAATATATAACCCCACAGTTTAGCCCACTACTATGTATGACGTATGTATATATATACCTGGTTGTACATAATCATGCGAGCGCCCGCATTCCAATGTTTTAGCTAAGCACTGCTACATATCTACATTACCTATATTGTATGTATAACCCCTAATTGAAGTTTTTCTATCATTAATAAAGATATTTTAGTGTTGTTTCCGACACGGTTCGAAGTTGTTCACTTGTTTATATATTGTTATAAAACTGTACTCATATCTTTTATCACATGTGTAACTAAATGTATGGTTATTTATACCTATGAGATAATATAAATTATGTATATTAATCGTGCATTCATGTGTGCATAATTTAATATAAAGAGTTGTATATTATGAATAATGAATTATGGCGAAATCTCTAACAATGTACCAATGAAATATGCTGAAAAATAAATAATACGAATGCCGCTTCTTTATTTATTGTATTACTACAATACTTGATCACAAACAACAAGGTATAATATAACAAAATAACATCAACTTCACACTGTGGCTGTCAGAAATGTCTCAGAGAACATCAAAGTAAAGTCAATCAACAGCCAACTGCCAATTTCTATAACATATCTATCTCAATCCAAAATGTGTGGAGTAAGATTGATTTTTGACAGAAACTCCGTACAACTGCTTCCAAAAATCGATCTATATCGACAGATTTTGGAGTAAGATAGTTTATTGAAATTGGCAGTTAATCGGTATCCAGTGCCTATAGCGACACGTCACTTTAGCGCTTGTCTACACAGAGAGTAGAAAACTAAATGTATGGGGATGACACTGACAAGTGTCAAAAAATTACGTCAATTCCATTTAATTTAGTTTTCTATTCTACATCTAGACAAGCGCTAAATGACATTTGGCTACAGCTGCAGGTAAGAATATAAAGATTGTTTCAGTACAGAGACAATGACCACACATTAGCAATTAAAAAAATACAAAACATGGTTAATATTAATGGTAACAAAAAGTTTGGCTTTTTATATTATCATCTCTGTACCTGTGTGTGTTGTAATCTCTATTCTCTTACCTGCATACTAAATAGTTTGCCTACCTATACATAAATAAACACTTAACACAAATACAGTTAGTTTGTACTCATGTACTAATTTGACGTAACATCAATCACTACATACATAGTTCCCCACCAAAGGAGCAGAACACACTATCACAAATAAATAATCACTGAGTTTAATAAATAATATCCTTTAAGTACACTTCATTTAAAGCTAAAATCGTCTAGACACACATTTTTTCAGAAATCTTCCACATCGAACCACTGGTAGATCTTTTTCCCGTTTGTATTGTATGAATATTCCACGCATTTCGTTTTGAACCATCTGAAAAAGGAAAATAATAAGTATTTGTAGAGCATTTTAAGTTACAGGTTTATTTATATTGATTTTAAAAAGGTTGGTGATGGTGACAGTGTATGACAATGGGGATGATGACAGGGTATGAAAATTAAAAATCTAATAAGTCCGTAGGTTAGGTAATTAAAAAATATTAGACACGTATTTTTTTATTTTGTCGTATAGTAAAACAATACTGAGATAAAACGAATCAAAGTTTAGGAGTGGGGGCTAAAACATTGTTCTCCGTATAAAATGTACATAGAAGTGACGTCAAGGGACATTTCAAATCAATACATCGTCGAAAGTATTCGATTTTGTAAGAAAATACGTGTCTAATGATTTAAAATAATCTACAAGACGGACATTAAAATAAAAATTAGGCACTTACTCTAAAGGGACGCAAATGTAGGAATGAGTTTTTTTTCCAAACATAGCAGTTGTCCTTTAATCAATGTCTTATGGTCACACTAGCTAATTCCGTATCGGAAGAAGCACGAGATCTTTACGCTGGCGCCATCTGGTGAGCCAAAATACAGTAGGCCCAGATGGTAAGCACTAAGATGACTGAGGTAAAGTTTTATCGAAATCTGAATTTTTAAGGAATAAGGCGGTAAACGAGTAGACGGATCACCTGATGGTAAGCAATCGGTGCCGCCCGTGGACACCCGAAATACCAAATACCAGTGTTACAAATGCGTAATCGAGCCTTCGGTAACCTCACTCACACGACGAAACACAACGCATGCGATGTTTCACGTCGGTTTTCTATGAGGCCGTAGTATCACTCCGACCAAGCCGGCCCATTCGTGATAAATCAGTTTCCTACTAAACCTGGGTATCAAAACCCTGAAGACTATTCTATCATAAAATAGATATACGGTTCTATCATAAAACAAAACGAAAACATCTACATACCCTCCTTTTTTATTGCATTTGGTGACTGGATAGTCTTCTCTGTAGCATTTGGTTTGTAGTCCATCAAAGTATATAACTCCAATGTACCTGGCGACCTTCGTGTTAGCAGATCTCAAACATGTCAAGAATTTTTCGTCACACTTACAACTTAATCTGAAAAGTTTAAGACTTTGTTTAGGAAAATATTAATTTTCGTTACCAAACAAATGGCGAAGTCGTTAAGAAAACATTTTTAACTCTAACATAGAAATTATCGTTATTTTGCAAATGGCGCCCAACGTGGGCTTTTGTTTCGATTTTGGCGCCCACCGTGGGTCCCATATTTTAAATATTGGCGCCCAGAGAGGGACTCTTAGTTTATAAATGGCGGAAAAGATAATACGATAACTCAAACAAGAAACTTATATGATGTAACAAAATAAGACTTAGGTATTTCATTACCTAGTATAAAAAGCGTCGTTAGTCAAATTATATTTAGTTCCTCCTCCAGGAATCAAGTCGGGACAGTTGTCATGTTCTCTGCAACACATGTCGGCTTCCTTTTCAGTGCCTAGATCATCATAGTTTTCAGCCACATTGCCTGCACCACACCATTTTGTGCCTGGAATCAAAATGGGAATAATTAAAATTTGGGGAGTAAAGAAATTTTTAGGAAGAATTTGGAATTTGGAGATTGTTGGGGATTCAGGGATTGGAGAGGTCGGGGAAGAGGGGGAAGGGTTATTGGGCCTCCGGTAACCTCACCCACACGACGACAACGCTAGCGTTGTTTCACGTCGGTTTTTTGTGAGGCCGTGGTATTACTCCGGTCGACCCGGTCCATTCATGCCGAAGCATGGCTCTCCCACACATAAAATATTATAAACTGCCGTATTACTGTATTGCCCATTCTTTATTTCTCGACTACACTATTTCCGCTCATGCTATACCTTGAACTTTGATATAGGTACAGAATTAACAATGGGAAAATACTTTGCTTTACCCAATTGAGAGAAAGAAAGTACTATTTATTTATTACTATGGTATTTTAAAGTAGTCCTTGACTTTATACAGTATCAAAACCATATGAATTTGTGTAATTATCAACATAATATAATTTTCAGAATAGGTATAATATGTATCTGAGTATAATCGAAATAATCTGTAAGTAATAGATACTTCTTTATTCAAACAAAGGGCTCGACTAGCCGTCCTATTTAAGCCTCAGTTAAACACGGAATATAAACGTAAAAAGATGAAGTACCTAATAAACTAATTAACTGTTTATTCACGGTATCTTTAACAACGCATTGGCATTGTTTAACTAATTCAATCAAATAAGTTCCGAATCGGCGATCGTCGGCTGAATGAAGTTTCCTTGTTCTATTTTTTATTTCAGTTCCGGATTTGAATAAAAACCGTTGGACGCAATTTAAAAATGTAATCAGATGGTACAAAGAAGCCGAAGAAGAAGTCAGTAGTGTCTCTGAATCTTTTTTAACTTAAATAACATAACATAACATCACGCCTTGTTATCCCCGAAGGGGTAGGCAGAGGTGCACATTACGGCATTTAATGTCACTGTACAATGTAACCCACTTTTCACTATTTATGTTATGAGTCCCATGTAATAGGGGGTGAGCCTATTGTCATGTACCAGGCACATTTCCAGATACCGTGCTACTACTGAGATTTTTAAAAACCCAGTAATAAGTACTTTGCCCGACTCGGGAATCGAACCCGAGACCCCTTGCCTGGCAGTCGCACTTGCAACCACTCGCCCGACGAGGCAGCTTAACTTATATTTTCCCGTTGATTTGCCCATGTGAATTGCTATGCTTTTCTCCGTCTAGGCAGTCCGAAAACTATATCTATTTCATTGGTCGGTTGTGTATAGAGGTATAATGCGTAATAAAGAATTTAAAAACTTTAAACTTTTGGATTCATAATTTGTAGTTAGGATAATAATAGAGGCGTTAGGCGGTTGGGTCAAGTGCTTGATACAGAAGGCAGTTCTCCTTGAACCACATCGTAAGGAGGTTTCCGTCTCTGGAGCCCTAACTAGCGATAGCTTGGGCTTGCTTGGGCACTACTGGTCGGTTCCTGTTTTTATATTTTTACTAGCTTTTACCCGCGGCTTCGCTCGCGTCACAAAACGATAAAAAGTAGCCTATGTGACATATCGAAATACACAGCGCCATCTATACCAATACTTTTGTTTTCCCTCGGGAATATCAATTTTTTCCGGGATAAAAAGTACCCTATTATTTAATCTGGACTTCTAACTTTACGTCTGCAAAAATTCAAAGCAATCAGTTTAGTAGTTACGGCGCGAAAGCGGAACAAACAAACAAACAAACAAACTCACTTTCCGATTTCTAATAATAATTAATAAGGATGAGTGGTATTTTAAATATATTTTTAGAGAATTTTAAATAAATATATGAATAATAAATATAAGTATTTGTGATTACATTAATAAAATCTAATCGTCTAAGTTATTACTGCGCGTGTAGTTTCTGTTCGATTTTTGTTATTGTTCTTGACTGTTAATAAATAGTTTTTATTATAAACCGAACTGCTTGTATGTACCTAGGTAATTTATAGTTGGTAGGATTGAAATACTGATTTTAAAATTTTAAAAATAACTAACTGCCGCTGTCGGTTTGATTTATACCTATGTATGTATGTAGTACGATGATCGCTAACGAAATTATGCCACGTATGAAAGAAATTATGTAAGAAACTGTCAATCCGGTAGTTTAATGGAACTTATACTATTTTTCTGCTTCCTATTAAAAATGTAATCAGATGATACAAAGGAGCTGAAGAAGAAAAAGAACATAACATCACGCCTTGTTATCCCCGAAGGGGTAGGCAGAGGTGCACATTACGGCACTTAATGCCACTGTACAATGTAACACCCACTTTTCACTATCTAAGTTACGAGTCCCATATAATAGGGGGTGAGCCTATTGCCATGTACCGGGCACATTTCCAGATACCGTGCTACTACTGAGATTTTTAAAAACAGTAATAAGTACTATTCTGGTCTACTTTTAACAACTAGATCTAGGGACTATTTTACAAAGTCTAAATAGCCGCCATGTAGGTACCCGATCTTGTATATGTAGAACTGGCTACTATCGCGAAGTTTTACCGCTCTACTGAGCTCCTATTGGTTGAACTGTGATGTTTTGTAGCCTGTCGCCTTCCTCGATAAATTCACTATCCAACACAAAATTCGTTTTTTAAATCAAGCTTCAGCTTTATATTATAAAAAATATATAACATAACATCACGCCTTTAACCCCGAAGGGGAAAGGCAAGAGGTGTACATTATGCCACTGTACAATGTAACACCCACTTTTCACTATTTATGTTATGAGTCCCATGTAATAGGGGGTGAGCCTATTGCCATATACCGGGCACAATTTCAGACTCCATGCTACTACTGTGATTTTTTGAGAAACTTAGTAATACATTGCTCGACCCGGGAATCGAGCCCGAGACCCCCTTGCCGGGCAGTCGCACTTGCGACTACTCGGCCAATGAGACATTCAAAATAAAAAATATAAAATAGTATAAGACGTAAAATTGAATTTGTTAGCCACATATATGAAGGTAACCCTTACCTGGAAATATTAAACTGATCCGTTGTTTGATCGAGGTGGTAGCTTCAGCCATCATAATGTCTTCATCACTGAGTTCATTTGAAAACAATCCTTTTGACAACATCTTAGCGTTTATATCATTTATAACCCAACCTTTGGAAACACCCAAAAACAAACCAAATAAACAAGAATATAAAATCACTTTCGACATTGTTTAAAAGTGAAACCTAACCACAATTTTTAATGAACAAATGTTTATTTTATCTTTATACTTGTGTACAATAGGTACTTATATTATATATTTTATTTAATATAGGGAGTAATTAGCCATTTACTGCAAGTGTCTTGTACTGAATAATACGGCGGAATGTTATTTTATGTTTATATACTCAACTGAACGTTTCTGTCGACGTGGTGCTAGTGCGCGCGGATTTGCAAGTAAACTCGCTAATCGCTACGCTAGGCTTGTAAGACATTTGACAAGCGTTATTAAGTTGCTAATGAATATAGTGTCGGTCTAGTTGGAGGACCCTCTTATAGATGCCGATTTTGGCCACCAAGGTTGAGTGACATTTTTTTATGGAATAGGAGGCAAACAAGCAGACGGATCACCTGATGGTAAGCGATCAGCGCCGCCCATGGACACCCGCAACACCAGAGGAGTCAGAGGTGCGTTGCCGGCCTATTAAAAAGAAATACGCTCTTTTTTTGAAAGTTCATACTTCTTAATTAATCTAGTTCTTTCCCAAAAAGGTAGGCACGTTTTTAATGTATCCCGTCGTCGTCTCCCTAAGAGTACCGATATATTACTAAGATTATAACCATAGTTTACAGTTCCACTTCAATAAATATTTAATCTGTAAGTAGGTTAATAGTGCCTCTTAATCAATCTTGACATTTCAGTTGTAGGTTTATTATTAACGCGAATTTTTCATAAATTTTATTTTATTACAATCTAATTATTGTACAACAGATCAGAACCCTAGATCGTAAAGTTAAGTTAAATATTCAGTTTTAACTATAGGTTATAGAGATATATATTATTACTATTAAATCCTTAAATACAGGTTAAATACAAATCGAGATTGCAATTACCTGAACTGACTGAAGTTTGTTTACTACCGTGTTACGAACTGACTCAAAAGAACTCATCATGTAGTTAATTATTATTCTGTTTTTTTATGGAATAAACTGATAAACGATCGGATAAATCATGGTGAGCAATCATCATCGCCCATGAACACAAGAAACACCAGAGGCGTTACAAGTACGTTACCGGCCTTTTGAGGATTAGGAATTTCAGGATTGTTAGGGATTCGGGGATTGGGGAAGAGGTTATTGGGCCTCTGTTAACCTCACTGCTCACTCACACGACGAAACATAACGCACGTGTTGTTTCACGTCGGTTTTCTGTGTGGCCGTGGTATCACTCCGGTCGAGCCGGCCCGTTCGTGCCGAAACATGGCTGACCCATACTTAAACTTCAAACTTCTATGAGTGCATTTCATAAAAATCTTTTTTAATAATAACCATAAAGAATATAAGGAAGCTTTTAACTAGTAAGGTTTAAATAGATGATAGATCCTAGAGTGCATTATATATGTAGGTGTTGTGTTATATACTATTCCATTCCACGGAATGCCCTTACTACCTTTTACGGATGCACATCACCATATTAATTATGTATATTTCCTTTGAGTAATTTACATTATGACATTTATATTAACGCCTATATCTTGTATGGATAAGCAAACGTTTATTAATGGGACAAGCCCGCCACAACGTCCGAAAACCGCTGCAACTCCTGTAAGCCACGATCTACAGTAGATACAACCATGAAAACACAGGTACACTGAAGTCCGGTGCGTCCCAGGGACATGAGTAACTGTCTTGGTTCCCGCAATGAAGTGAATCAGAAGATATTATAAGAGGAGAAGAAGAAAAAACCATAGCATAAGCAAACGATTCTCAATTGCACATCAGTCTTATCTAAAACTAGTACATCACTGAGGAGAATTGTATCTATACGTAAAATCGTGGTTAGGAAATCAAACCAGGAATATCATGCTCGACAGTTCTATGGAACTTTTATAGAACATACATACTTATATGGTATAGAGACATAATGACATACATTTCCTATAAGCGATTTGCAATTAATTACTTTATATATAGACGTGTATTTTCCGCTTACAGTGAAACCACGAATCAACAAATAAATTCTGATAAGACGGACTGTACTCAAATAAATTGAAGGAACAACCTTTTTGTTAATTTTTTCCTTATTCCTATAGAAAACTGTGTACCGTTACCTTTCTGACATGCTGGTATGATAGTTGTACGTTTAACTGCTATATTTGGTCAGGGATTCGATTCTTGGGTCAGTAAAATGTCAATAGGATTATCGTATTTGAAATTTTCATCAACAAAAAGGTATTGTGAATGGGGCCTGAAGTATGTAAATGAATTCGTCTATAACAATCAGTAGCGTAATTACAGGGTGGCAAGTTAGTAAAATGCCACGGCAGAGCTAAAGGGGCACGAAGAGGTTTTTATCTGAACTTCTCTGTTTTGTATTGGGAACGGGGGCTATCCGATGAATTTACCACAGGTCCTGAAGGGTATAGTAAGTTAGTAACGTCACTGATCACACTGAAATTGTAACATCATAATCATCATCTGATGCATAGGCCTCCCCCAATGACTATAACCGCAAGACATTCTGGCGATAAGTGGGTTTTAAGTATGTACACCTCATTCTATCCCACCATTATCCCGAGCGTAAGGCGCGTTGCGTTCCGTGCGCGCCTCAAAGAGCCATCAGACCACCACGGTTGTGGCCCAATAGGGCTGATGCGCATTCAGAGTCGCGGAGAACCTAACGGATTACCGGGGCTCCGGCTCGTAGTGCAGGAGAAGGAACGGGGTGGTTTTTAGTCAGTAAGAGTCTGACACTCCCCCCCGCCTCACCCAGGCGGGAGAAGTCATTAGATGATTTTGACCCCTTAAAAAAAATCCCATCATTTTCCACCTTACCTCCGGTACCTTACCTACGTTGCACTAATTTTCATGTAGGTATTCTAAACTCCACCAAACCGAAATGAAGAAGTCTTACGTGATATTTTGAAATTGGTACTTTTTCCTTGTCCTGACGTTTTCTATAAATGTGACGTGCTGTGGAATTATCCTTGTTTTGCTAAATTAATGAAGTAATATGGTAATTACCGAGGGGATACGTATGTTACACTTACATGGATACTAGGGCTAGTCAGGTATTCAAGTAGGTATAAGACATAGGTATTTTTTTATTATATTTCTTATTATATAGACATAGGTATAGGACCTATATATGAGTATTTTCTCAATTTAAATAGTTGGAGACTGATTTCTCTGGCCGAGTGGTGACAAGTGTAACTGCCGGGTACCGGGCAAAGGGTCGCAGGTTCCATTCCTGGGTCGGGCATACTATTACTAGTTTATTTTTAAATTCTCAGTAGTAGCACGGAGTCTGGATTTGTGCCCGGTATAGTGCAATAGGCTCACCCCCTATTACATGGGACTTATAACATAAATAGTGAAAAGTGCGTGTTAAGTACAGCGTTAAGTACCGTAATGTGCACTTCTGCCTATACTACCCTTTCGGGGATAAAAGGCGTTATGTTGAGTGTTATGTTATAAGACTGCCTATTGCGAGATTTTTTACGTTAACCCGATGGATACTTTACTGCACCCAGGTCATCAAATATTCGCGTAATAATTGTCAATACAAAACTTACTGTAGGTAACTGGACTTGAGTTTTTACTATGATTAACGCAAAACGAATAATTTGTGGTTTTTCATAAAACACGTATGCATTCACTACGCGCGCACGCGTCAGGGAAAGCACCTATTATGGAGTCTCTCGTCTTTTTAATTCTTAGCATCACGTAGTCAGGAATTGTCTAATATTTTGTAAGTTCATCTCAACCAAGTAATAACAAGGATGAGGTAATTATGAAGTACGTGTCTTTCGAGTTTTGGGACATTATAGTAAGTAGGTAAGCATGAACCTCATCCAATACTTATATCATTCTCCCTAAACAGGGATTTTGCATATAATGAGCGTCATAGATACTTTACTATTTCATTTCACCGCAAACTTGGGACATTAGTAGATGTATATGTCGCGGAGAACCTAATGGGTAACCGGGGCTCTGGCTCGACGTGCAGAAGGAACGGGGTGGTTTTTAGTCAGTAAAAGCCTGACACTCCCTCCCGTCTCACCCAGGCGGGAGCAGTCATTCGATGATTTTCCCCACTTAAAAAAAAAGTAGATGTATATAAACTTATGTGTAAAATCTGTATGTGTCACCTGTTTTAGCGTGTGAAATAAAGTTTTTCTTTCCTTCTTTCTTTTCTTTTACTTATTTGTGTGCCAATGCCAAATGTGCCAATCAAAACTGAACCTTACCTAATTTGTTAAGATACCGAATTCCCAAAACTCTGTTGTTAAGTTTTTTATGGAATAGGAGGCAACCGAGCAGGTGGATCACATGAAGGTAAGCAATCTGCGGCGGTCATGGACACCCGAAAGACCAGACGAATGACACGTGTGGCCGGCTTTTTAAGAATTTTTTTTTAAAGGGGAAAATCATCGATTGACTGCTCCTGGGTGAGGCGGGAGGGAGTGTCAGACTCTTACTGACTAAAAACCACCGCGTTCCTTCTCCTGCACGGCGAGCCGGAGCCCCGGTAACCCGTTAGGTTCTGCGCGGTAACCCGTTAGGTTAAGAATGAATACGCTCTTTTCTTGAAGGTTTGAAAGCCGATGTGAATAAATGTCCCGCCTATATTACTCTCAATTCGATGCCCTGTCGTCATTACAAATAAATCCCTTAATCCATAGAGTACATACGAGTACGACGTATTTATTTTTACGAGGTGCATAAATGCGTGTGGATGATACAAAATTCTATTGAACAAAGCGATTTACGTGTGAATACCTATTGTATTATTAGTCATAATTTATTTGTTTTATTCATTGTAGTATATTGTATAAAACTTGGGATTGAAATTACATTTTAATCTACATCTACTTAGTGTTGGAAAATTGCCAGTAAAATGAGTTCCTTCCTATTATAGGTACCTAGTATAGATATCTTATTCCTAGGTACCTACAACAAATCAATTACTAGCTGTTATTCGCGACTACGTCCGCGTAGAATATGATTCCTAATTTATCGGATAGAAGCATTAAATCAGTATCCTATTACCTAAGTCAGCTCACACCCTGCCTGCATACCAATTTTTATCAAAATTCATTCAGTTGTTTCAGCGAGATCGACGGACAAACATCTAAACAAAGAAACTTCTATATTTATAATATTAGAGTGATATCGCATTACGTCTCACATCTTGCCTTTAATAATTACTTAAAGGAATAGTAGAAACTTCGCGCATCCGTCTCATGTAAACAGATTCATCATTCATACCATAATACTCTGGTTTGAACCTATTACCATACATTAGAGGTTTTTTAGGGGGGTAAATCATCCAATGACTTCTCCCGCCTTCGGTTAGGCGAGAGAGAGAGTCAGGCTCTTACTGAATAAAAACCACCCTGTTCCTACTCCTGCTTTTTGAGCCGGAGCCCCGGCAAACCGTTAGGGCTTCCGCGGCTCCGTATCGGGCATCAGACTGCTGGGCCCCATCTGTGGTGGTTTGATGGCTCTTTGCGGCGCGTGCGGAACGCGACGCGCAGTACGCACGGGTCTGGGTGCTTACTCTTGAAAACAATCTCAATGTCAATGCAATTTCAATCCAATGAAATCTCGATATTTATTCAATGTCAATACTATACAACCACAATCGTAGCTGTTAAAATAGCATTAACAGTAGCAGCATATTAAGCCAAACTCAATACCATTTAGTTCATTCAATATCCACGCAATATCCCAATGTATCCACGGATACAATGGGCGATAGTGTTGCAACTCAAGAGTACGAAATTTCATAATAGGTACCAATGTCGATCGATCGGAATTGGATTCAAGAGTAAGCCTCCAGGGCGCTTACTCTTGAAACCAATCTCAATGTCAATGCAATTTCAATCCAATATGATCTCAATAATTATTAAATGTCAACACTATACAACCACAATCTTAGCTGTTACAATAGCATTCAGAGTACGGAATATAAAGACAAACTCAATACCATTTAGTTCATTCAATATCTACGCAATACGGATGCAATGGGCTCTAGTATTGCAACTCAAGAGTACGAAATTTCACAATACCAATGTCGATCGATCGGAATTGGATTCAAGAGTAAGCCCCCTGGTTCTGGTCGGGCGGCGAGCTACCCTTGCTCACTGGCAGCAGACCCGCACGGTGGCCGGAGATTTCCGACGGCCGGAGTGTCTCCCGCGACGGAAACATGGAGGTTGGAGACTACTCTTTTCAGTCTATTTGCGATGACCGAAAATTATGAGAATCTAAATTATTAACCGACTTCAAAAAAAGGAGGAGGACCGACTTCTAACCTATCAGTGGGTGTGTAATCTATAACCACTAATACGTTTGACCACTACGTATGACCACTAATAGTTTTTTTTTCCTTTTTAGTTTTTACTTTTTGTTTGTCATTTGTTTTTGAAGTCGGTTTTTTTAAACGCAGTTTTTTTATTTTATCCGAATCGATATGTCAACAACGCAATCAAAGTAAGAAAAGTACCTATATTCAGTCATAGTCAAAATCAAAGCGAGTATTGCAACTGATTGTTCCTACAGTCCAACAAAACGTATAATAATATATCCACGGAAATAATCATTAGTCTTCCTTTTCCTATATTTACATAGATAAAACAGGAACCTAACAATTTTTCGGTAGATTTCCGACATCACATAACACCATACATTTATCTAAAACTCCAATTAAATCATAGATAACATTCTTAAGGTTAAAATTAACTAGCATTTGTCCCTTTAACTGTAAACCTTATCTTATTAGGAACCTAGTTTCCTTATCTTGGTGTTAAATAGTTGTTTTTCCTGTAGGAAGCTCCCCTGATGAGCATTATCTTGTGCAGACACTTTCATTTGTAACGAGCATGACAAGAATACAAATACAAATACAAATATTATTTATTTCATCAATGTAAGTATGTTACAATAGATGGTAGATAATATTATGGTAGTGCGCCACATTGTGTCTGTACAGACATACAAAATTCTTATAGTATGTTCTTAATCTAGTGTGTTTACAGACAATAATCTTCTCTGTCTACATTATGGAACATAATACACCTAATTACAAACTAAATTAATATTAAAATCAAGTTTTAATAAAGCTATTATTTGTGTTGAAAATTTACTTTATCAGCCATATACTCAATTAAATTGAATTAGGTAATTGAAGATTGTAAGTAGGTGACTACGTCATTGATGAATTGTTTGTAAGTGTAAATACTAATCAAGGATTCGGTTCTTAAGTAACTAAATTATCATCCCTAGGAACTGGGCAGTATGAGAATTGTGGCAATAGGCTTTTTTTTAATTACTATCATGAGACAGTTGCGCAGCCTACTTAGGGTAGGCAGCCAAATCATGTAGGCTGCACGACGTCGTCGCGCGCGACCACGAACTCACTAGTAGACTTTTTCTCAGTACCTATATTTACGTGAGTAAACCTTATTTGTAAAAATTTTAGTAATAGGGCAGAGTCTAGAATGGTATATTAAATTAGGGTCACTCCCTATTTTTTTTTATTTTTTTTTTTTTTTTTTTCCAATCCTGCTTAGCACAGCAATCTGTTTTTCCACATTTAGCTGTTATTTTCTTTGACCTCAGTCTGAGTGTGTCTTTAATTTAAAGAGGGGTCCATTGACTTCACTCTTTATAATGATGGAAAACGGTTTTTGAGGGAGGGAACACTGTTTCTCCTCAGTCTTGAGTGCTGAACGCTGCCAGTGCCTGTTAGTTTATTAGCTGAGGCATTTACATGATTCGATAACTTGGTCTGATACTTGGAACTTCTTATGGAGATTTCTTGTTTCACTGTATTAAGATTTAGATCTCGTAAAATATATTTATTGCTGATGCATTTAGGTATGTTATACATGCACCTAATGCTCTTGGTTTGGAACTCCCTATTAGTCCTAGGTAGTTATTAGCATGGGACTCAAAATCAAAACTTAAACTATGACTAGGTATTGGATGGAATGGTATGGAATTACAACTACTTGAAATAAAGTTAATTTAATAAATGACGTCACAATATTTAAATAAAACGCTCGTTTGAACCCCTATCGTGATTAATAAATATAATTGTATCTTTAGGTCAATGGCGAATGTAACATTAATCTCCTTTAATTATCTATATCAAGGGTAATTACGAAGAGAGCCCTTCTGTTACGATAAAATAGTTCATTTGGACTTCCTAGATTGTTTATCATGGTACCAGCATTTTAGACACCTAATCTTTACAAGTCAACATTGAGATAAAAATAAATGTTGGTTTCTTCCTTATTTGGTGTAGTGTGCCTATTTTTAGATCTTCCTTATTTTTGAAACGATTTTTGTTAATTTTCTTATAATACAGTTTAATTATCCTCGCCCCAACTTCGTTTAACAAGAATGAAGGATTTATGTCCACTCACATAACAGTGTCTACACAAGCGCGCAGAAAGATAATATTCTTCTGCTGAATACCATTAGACAGACATAAGACTCTCCATACAATAAAATCGACCTAAGATCATCAAGATTACAAAATATTTTCAGACCTATGCAACTGTATCATAATCATAAGCCGAATGGTCGAAACTAAACGCTGTTTCTGACAGACCCAATCATAAAAAAATTATTGACTCAAGTCAAACGTCAATGTCAAACCGCAACGCAAGTTTTGTTTACGTTTCAGTTTCCAATTAATCCCTAATAAAGGCGACAATTTCCTAAATACCTTGACATACTGACTTGTAATTAAATTGTGGCATCGATACCTAATTCAAACGTAAACAAACTAATAAAAATGGAGAACCTGAAAAACATTTGGAAACCGGAACGTAAGTTTATAGTTTTATGATTTGTAATTACTTTCATAGTGAGTGTAAAGTATGTATTTATGACTTTTTTTCTAGTATATCGAATACAAATGGAGGCGCCGAAGCCTAAACGTGTGGTTTGCGATAATTTGGAGGATAGACCTGAGTTTTACGGCCGCGAATACCACGGTGTAATGAGTCATAAGGAAGCGACGGCAATTCTCGAAAATGAGCCTAATGGCGCCTTTCTAATTAGGAAAGGTAGTCAGAATAATGATTTCTATACGTTAACTTTAAAGTAAGTATAAGTACTTGTTTACTTGGTACTGATTTGTGTTATCAAAGAAATGCGTTTTTATTTATTTATTTATTATTTAAATAGGTATACCGACAGCTTCTATATACATAGCATTAAGTCAATGAATGCGTTGACCATTAAATTGTTATTCTCATAATAAAACAGATGCAATGAGTTTTTAACAACTGTAATTCAATAAAACTTTGTGGAATACAAAACACTCCATGATAAAAAAATTATCCTCAATGTATTATTTATCAGAGAGATTAAATGATAAGTTTATTAAAATTAAAATTCAATATTACTTATTTATCGTTTTCCTAAAAACAATAATATTTCAGGTTCGATGACAAAATCCATCATTACAAACTATATTATGACGGTTCACATTACATTGGTACGAAACATTACGAGACTATCTATGACCTGGTGGCGGATGGGCTCGTCACATGTCATATGGAACTGAAAGCTCACCACATTGTTGAAATGATCAACTCACGAGCGAGCTACCCAGAGAGTCCCTATGTCACTCTAAACAGGCGCAAACTTAATACTTTGTCCAGAATGCAGCAGTAAGTTTAAGACAAATGTTTTTTGTTATTTATCTAATGATTAGAAAAGAAAAGAATTACTATGAATACAAATTATGAGTAAAGTTCATATTCCTTAGTTTGGAATATTGTTACGGAGCATTGAATTTCAGTTTACTTGAAAAAAAAAAAATATTTTACTAATTGGTAACATCAATTGTCTTTATAACTTAACATCACGCCTTTTATCCCCGAAGGGGTAGGCAAATGTTGCAATAGGTTCACCCCCTATTACATGGGACTCATAACATAAATGGTGAAAATTGGGTGTTACGTTGTATAGTGGCATTAGGTGCCTTAATGAGCACCTCGGCCTATCCCATCGGGAATCAAAAGTGTGATGGTATGTATGTAAGTAATTATAATTACTTCCTGATATAATTTATTCTAATGAATTAAAATTTCAATAATCTTATGCAGTACATTTAATGAATTATTAGTACAAGTACAAAACTAATAAAAGTTCAAAATCGAACATGCACAATAATGTTTAATTTATTTATTTTTACATTACAGAGCATCAAACAACTCAAGCCCAATTATAATAAGGACTGAAACCAAAGCTATAAGTGAAACGGATGGACTGAAGAAACCTCCGTTTGATCTCACGCCTTCCATAGAGGAGAATCCTTTAGTTATGAAGTATTCAAAGTCACATACTTTCAAAGTGCACACATTTAAAGGCCTAAATTGGTGCGAATTGTGCGCAAATTTCCTTTGGGGATTCACGGCACAGGGTGTTAAATGTGAAGGTAAACATTATAATACTATATACATACATATATAAACTAGCGACCCACACGGGTGTTTTTTTTTTTTTTTTTTTAAGGGGGGAAAATCATCGAATGACTGCTCCCGCCTGGGTGAGGCGGAAGGGAGTGTCAGACTCTTACTGACTAAAAACCACCCCGTTCCTTCTCCTGCACGTCGAGCCGGAGCCCCGGTTACCCGTTAGGTTCTCCGCGACACCCACACGGGTGTAATGTGCATGTATTATACATACTAGCTTTTACCCGCGGCTTCGCTCGCGTCACAAAAGAATAAAAAGTAGCCTATGTGACATATACCAATACACACAGCGCCATCTATACCAATACTTTTGTTTTTCCTCAGGAATATCAATTTTTTCCGGGTTAAAAAGTACCCTATTATTTAATCCGGAGATCTAACTTTACGTCTGCAAAAATTCAAAGCAATCGGTTGAGTAGTTACGTGAAGGTGGAACAAACAAACAAACAAACAAACTCACTTTCAGATTTATAATATTAGTAAGGATAAACCTTCCTTAAGTCGCGGAAAACCTAACGGGTTACCGGGGCTCCGGCTCGACGTGCAGGACACTTACTCCCGCCTCGCAGCAGATGGGAGCAGACATTCGATGATTATCCCCCCTTAAAAAAAAGACCTACCTTAAGAATCACTCTATCTAGGTATTTAAAATTCCGCATCAAAATCCGTTGCGTAGTTTTAAAGATCTAAGCATACATAGGGACAGACAGACGGCGGATAGCGACATTGTTTTATATTATGTAGTGACTTATATAATTAGGTACTTGCCAACTAGTCAAATTCAATACCTACTTTTTTCGAACTGGCAAAAATTTCAGTTTTCTATGAATTTTGCACGAGGTTATGTATTGGGACGTCACGATATTTAGAGTCTAACAGCATACTTATTTCGTAAAAAATTGCTGGAAAAATACTAAAATTAAGTTAGTCATAAAATCAATTGATGAAAGTGTTTTTGATGAAATTATTTTTTAATATTTCATTGTATTGAACAGTCGAAATAATTTATATTTGATTATTAAGGAAAGTATCCAATTATTGATATTTACTACTAGCAAACCTCGCGAACTTTGTTCGGCCTTAAAAATTTTGGGGCGCACTTTATAATTATTTTTTTTTACCTACTCCTAACGACAAAAAACCTAACAATAAAAGAATTGGTAGCGAAATCGGTTCAGCTGTTCTCGAGATTTGCTCTTAGCAAACATTTAGTAATTCATTTTTAACAGAGTCCAAAAAAGGAGGACGATGTATAGCTGAAGTGTTTGTAGATTGGTTTGAAAGCAGTAATCTCGAAAACTACTGGTTCAAATTAAATAATTAATTTTGTATTAAATATGTATTCCATTTATCGACGAAGGCTATAAAACATCACGTGTATGTGAATGATATTGATATATGAATAGGAGTCAAGCAACGGGCGGAACTGCGCGAAAGTATCTAGTCTTAATATTATTTATATAGCCTCCAATAAAAGGAGAGTCGCTTGACTGCCTCGTTTGCGGGGTAGTCCCAAGTGCCGGGCAAGAGGTCTCTGGTTCGATTCCCGGGTCGGGCAAATTATTGCTGGGTTTTTAAAAAAAATCTCAGTAGTAGCACGAAGTCTGGAATCGTGCCCGGTATATGGCAACATGCTCACCACCCCACATGGGACTCATAACGTAAATAGTGAAAAGTGAGTGTTACACTGTACAGTGGCATAATGTGCACCTCTGCCTACCCCTTCGGGGATAAAAGGCGTGATGTTATGTCACATGATATTAATATGTTAAACAAATAAGAGGAAAATGGCTTTGTTTAAAATATGAAAGACAACAATAGAAACTTTTTGGTTATATTTTTTACCTTGTAGATAAATCATACGTAGGTCTGTACAGTTGGTACAGTAGTTGGGTTACTGGCTGCCGCGTAACGCTTCGCGGGTTCGATTCCCGGAACAATTCTTTGTGTGATCCACAGATTGTTGTTTCGGGTCTGGGTGTCATCTGTATGTGAACTTGTATGTTTGTAAACGCACCCACGACACAGGAGAAAATCCTAGAGTGGGGCAATGTTTAAAAAAAACACCCATACACATACATACATGCATTCGCACAAATTTCCGCGTGTATAATGTTAGTAGGATCTACCTCTACTTGCCCTTTCGAAAAATGAAACCCAATATGTATGATACTATTTATTTTTGCTGCCTCAATTGCCTGACTGCCTCATAGGCCATGTGGTCGCAAGGGCGACTGCCGGGCAAGGGGTCTCGGGTTCGATTCCCGGGTCGGGCAAAGTATTACTGGGTTTGTAAAAACCTCTGTAGTAGCACGGAGTCTGGAAACGTGCCCGGTATATGGCAATAGGCTCACCCCCTATTACATGGGACTCATAATATAAATAGTAAAAAGTGGGTGTTACATTGTACAGTGGCATTAAGTGCCGTAATGTGCTCTACCTACTAAAGGCGTGATGTTATGTTATGTTATTTATTTTTATTTACAGACTGCGGCTTTATAGCACACTCAAAATGTTCAGAACGGGTCCCAAATCACTGTGTGCCAGATTTAAAAAAATTACGAGGTGTCTTTGGTATAGATCTGACTACGTTACTCAATGCCCACTCCAGTACGTTGCCATTCGTCGTTAAAAAGTGTGTGAATGAGATAGAAGATAGAGGTATGGATTCAGAGGGGATATACAGGGTTTCCGGATTCGCTGATGAAATTGAAGCTTTGAAGCTAGCGTTTGATCGAGGTATGTATCAAATTAATTATGTTTTATGACGTAGTTTGAGGTATCTTGACTAGGAATGAACAGTTATAGACAAAAGCAATAAATTAAATGACAATTAATTATTATTGCTACACAGTAAATAAATATAAGGTCTATATTCTATAAGGTCTATGGTAGGAATTTAATTTTTAAAGCTTGCAACATTTCTGTTATCTGGCAACATTGATGCATCCTTGCACAACAAGTACCCTTAGTTTGTTCTTACTTATCTGTGGTACGAATAACTTAAAATGAAAACTCAATCTTATAATCAAATGAATAAAGTCCAATTTTCAATAATATCACCATTTTACCTTTAGACGGCGAGGCAGCTGATTTGAGCGTATACAGTAACATCAACGTGGTGGCTGGTACACTGAAGCTGTACCTACGACTTCTGCCGGTACCATTGATAACGTATGAAGTCCATCCCAAACTCGTACAAGCTATACGTAAGTAATAATAATTATTATATTATCTATCTGCTGCCTCGATGGCCGAGTGGGCGCAAGTGCGACTACCGGGCAAGGGGTGTCGAGTTCGATTCCCGGGTCGGGCAAAGTATTACTGGGTTTTTAAAAAAAATCTCAGTGGTAGCACGGAGTGCACCCACTTTTTCACTATCTATGTTATGACTCCCATGTAATAGGGGGTGAGCCTATTGCCATATACCGGGCACAATTCCAGACTCCGTGCCACTACTGAGAATTTTTAAAAACCCAGTAATACTTTGCCCGACCCGGGAATCGAACCCGAGACCCCTTGCCCGGCAGTCGCACTTGCGACCCCTCGGCCAACGAGGCAGTCATGTAAAATGTATGTATATTATCTATCTATACATATAATAAAACTGTAGAAGTGTAAATTCTGTACATTGAAAATATTTAAAATATAAATAACTAGTGGGGAGTGTTACTAGATAGACACTGAACCCAAAAGTGTGATTGAAACATTTTTGTCTGCCCGTCTGTCTGTCTATATGTTCACGCATTACGCAAAAACTAAAGGTCCGATTACGATGAAACTTGGTATGATTATACTTTAGTATCCTGTATCCTGGTATCCAGGCCAGGACCAAGCCCAGAATACTAAAGTTTACTATTATACTAAATACTTTTTGTTTTGAGAAAGTATAAACACAAAAAAACGCAAACTTAATTGTGCGCCTCGATCCCTAAATACAATTACTGTACCAAACGCAAGTATAAGTTTGTCGATGGTTAGGTTGTCCGCAGTGGATCTTACGCTGTAACTGTAAAAATATAATTACTATAACTTTACAGTAAACAGTTCTGTTTTGTTTTCAGAGATGAAAACACAAGCACAGCAGATAACGTCGCTCCGAGAGTGTTTGGACTCCCTCCCGCCCGCACACTTCAACTGCCTGCAATACATGGTCCAACATTTACATAGGTAGGTAACATTATTCCTTTACGCTTTACTTCTGAACATATTCAACGTCATCAGCTAGAGCCTATCAGTGGTCACTGCTGACCAAAGGTCTCTCACGCGGAGAAGGGTTTACCATTAACACGTTGAACGCCGTGGTCACCGGCGACCGGCGTTAGCGGAGGATTTACCTTCAACAGTTTTTTATTGGCAGTCAAAGTCTTAATCGCCATGCTTACTCAATGCGGGTTGGCAATTTTAAACTTTAGAAATTATAAGCTTAGGTTTCCTCACGATGTTTTTCAGCAACCGTTTGTCAATGGTATCTAAATAATCTTAGAAAGTACATACATACAAGTTATTCGGAAAAAGTCACATTGGTACTTGCTGTTGGTAGGTTCCGAAGCCCTTACTCTCATACATGAGAATTACTTTACATTACATTTACATTTGATATACACACATCCTCTTTCTTTCTTCTTAAACACCTCTTCTGGACATCTTGCTTACATGTAGTTTAAGTACAGAGAAGAAGAAGGATATACTACTGACTGACAGGCGGTGAAACCTAGTTTTTAATATAAAATTGTAAATAATGTCACGTCAGAGCTACTTCAACGGAAGTTAGACTTTATAATCAACTAAATAAGGTTTATATCTATTACACAAACTTTTTCGACGTTTTTATGGCATAAACCGGTAAACGAGCAGGCGGATCACCTGATGGTAAGCAATCGGCGTCGCCCATGGACACCTGGAACACCAAAGGCATTACAAGTACGATACCGGCCTTTTGGGGATTAGGAGTTTGAGGATCGTTGGGGATTCAGGAATTGGGGAAGGGGAGGGTAATTGGGCCTTCGGTAACCTCACTCACACGACGAAACACAACGCAAGCGTTGCTTCACGTCGGTTTTCTGTATGACCGTGGTATCAATCCGGTCGAGCCGGCCCATTCATGGCGAAGCATGGCTCTCCCACACTTATAATACACATATCTATTTCACATACTTGATACTTATTTTTTCAGAGTATCGCAACTAGCAGACGTGAACAAAATGAGTGCTCACAACTTGAGTACAGTATTCGCTCCTACATTGGTCGCTACGCCGCCCGCCATCACAGACCTAGCGTTCGAGATCCGCGCCCTACAAGTATTAATCGAACATTGCCCACAAATATATTACGGTAACAAATGAATTTTAAACTAAAAACATTGATTTTATTATGTTTTACGGCTTCGACGAGGTAACCTGCAGCTGCAGCCAAATGCCATTTAGCGCTTGTCTACATGTAGAGTAGAAAACCAAATTATATGGAATTGACGTAAATTTTGACACTTGTCAGTGTCATCCCCATACATTTTGATTTCTACTCTCTCTGTAGACAAGCGCTAAAGTGGCGTTTGGCTAAAGGCCCAGGTTAGTTTCGAGCTACACCGGGGCCCATATTCATGTGAAATTTATTAGTTGGCTACGCGGTGATTATTGCAAAAATGCTGCTCTAAATAGCGCCCAGTGTGGTTTGAAAATAGACTTGTTACTTTATCAAATAGTTCTGTGAGTAAGCTGTACAGGATACGTCTTACGAAAGTTAAAACTTTGGTTTTAGAAAAATATATAAAGAAATGTTGGTACATACTTACAACTCAAAAATTTTGTTACATATCTATTCGGTTCAATATCAAAAAATATCATCCTTTATAATATTATATTATAATCCTTTAATATAAGATTTGTTAGCTACTTCAACATTTATTTTATGAAATAATAATAATAATAATTGCCAGAACTTGAATCTAAAGCTAAAGCCGTTTTTGAGCGGATAAATACCTATAGATTTCAAATTGAAGTTTATACCATATTTATTAGTTATTATTTATTATATTTACGGCTTACCCACGTAACTGTTTGACGAGCAGCGTGACAGTCGCCGCGTCGCGTGCCGCGGAATGCTGCTCATGAATATGAGCCTCTAGCATGGCTTGAAACTAGTCGAGTTCCTCGTCTAATAATTACGTGAGTAAGCCGAAAACATAATTTAGTATGTCTCACGAAGGTTATAATATAAAAATATAAGTTATGCTATGCTATATAATAAAATCTTTGAAGTGAATTTCTATCAAATATCGATTCAGAGATTTAGTTTAAACTGTCAAACACCGCGAGGACACCGGTGACCGCAACCTATTGTTCTTTAATTGTGTCTATAACGACGGTACTCAAAGGGTTAAGTCGACCGTGTATGAAGCTATCAACGATTCGTAGTTACATTCAAAAAATAGTTGTAACAGTTTGTGCTACTGATGTGGACTGATTTTTTTTTATATACACAATATTATTATTTGTAGTACAATAAGAACAACTAGATTATTTACTTAGAATTATATTAGCCACTGCCACACACATTACCATACATTTTGTTCCTAATTTTTATATTTATCATAGCAAACAAACAGATTAATATATATCTGTCTGGAATCGCTTGACATTATTACTTAACCCCTCGAGTGTCCTTATGAGCACCCGGCGGATCATAAGAAAAAATGCTCCAAATGTCACGTGTGCACCCGTTGGATCATAAGGAACGCGGACGCTCGACGGGTTAAATGAAGTATTAAATGAATATTTCTCATATATATATATCATGGAGTCTGGAATTGTGCCCGGAATATGGCAATAGACTCACCTATCCTTATCTACAGTACCTAGAGATGAATATTGCATATCGATTAATGAAGATAACGAGGCAACGCGCCGCATATACAGTTTTATGGGCCGCTAAAAGTAGTATTAAAATGATTGTAATGTGACCTAGATACTGTCTTTCTATATAATATTTATTGCCTTGTACTGGACATGGGACTCACAACTGAGTGGCAAGCACGAATAACTACCGCATTTGTATTGCGATTGAGTATCGAGCGCGTTCGGCGCACAGAGTGCCAAACACGAATAACTATCGCATTCGTAACGTAATAGTATCGAGCGCGTTCGGCGCTCTGATTGGCCGGCTCAAGTGAACCAACCAACCAGAACGCTTAACTCGCTCGATACTGTTACGATACGAATGCGATAGTTATTTGTGCTTGGCCCTCTGCTCTCCGATTGGTTTGTTCATGGGAGCCGGCCAATCACAGCGCTGAACGCGTACTCGTTTTGATAACTTTAAACGTAAAAGAAACTCGTACTAAAGCGCCAATGAACCAACCAATAATGAGTGGTTCATTGGGCCAATCACAGCGCCGAACGCGTACTCGTTACGAATACTTAAACGTGAATCAATCTTGTACTGAGGCCTCTGATTGGCCGGCTTCAGTGAACAACGTTTAACTTATTACGTTACGAATGCGATAGTTGTTCGTCCTTGGCATTCTGGAGAACAGTAAGTGTGCTACATTATGTCTACAGCTCGGTCGAAATTTGATGTGACGTTATGTGTATATGAGAAAGTACACGCAACGGGTTTACAACGCCACCTATGTATATACTAAAAATGCAAGCATTTACTTAAAATATAGACTCAAAATGAGGCACAAAACTCATTAAAATTAATCTCACAAATTAGTTAATAAGTTATATTTAAGTGCAATATATGTTTAAGTATGTATCTTCTATAGATAAGCCATGTGATAATTGGAAATTTGGTCTTTCAAAAAGAATATCTCTTTTCTACCATTCCAGGTTGTGTAGTTAATTAAATATAAGTGTTTTTGTAACCAAATTGTTTTATAGAAATGAGGTCCTTGATTTTTATTTAGAAAGTGTTTGTTAGACATTAACTCGTAAATTGCTGAAAGATTTTTGAACAAATTGAATGCAAGAGATACGGTGAATTAGTTTAAGTTTTATATTATTTTGGCTTTGTAGGAATGCAAGCTTTGTAGGTACATTATTTTAGACAGCTTTTGAGAAACAGGAATTGATCAAATTAACATTTTTAATGTGGATATATCATACTTTCTGCTTTCTCTTTCGTAAATATCACACTTACATTAATATTCAATAAGTGTTGGTAAGAAATACGTATGGCAAAAGTTTTGAAAAACTTTATTTCGACCTACCTACCTACTTACAAGTTACTTTACCCTAAAACATTACGGCGAGCACGGGTAGCTCGCCGCCCGACCAGAACCTGACCCGGGCGTACGGCGCGTCGTACTCCGCATGCGCCTCAAAGAGCCATCAGACCACCACGGATGGGGCCCAATAGGGCTAATGCCGATACGGAGCCGCGAAGGACTTAACGGGTTACCGGGGCCTTGAAGTGCAGAAGTAGGAACGGGGTGGTTTTTAGTCAGTAAGAGTCTGACAATCCCTCTCTTCTCACCTAAGGCGGGAGAAGTCATTGGATAATTTCCCCACCCACAAAAATACCCTAAAAATATTAAATACTACTAAACCAATGTTGGACCAAAATTAAAAAATCTCATTGTATTTATTATTATTATATGTCTTTAGATAAAGGGCCTCAGAATAAAAAAAAAAATGTATTCTTTTTTTATACTTTTGTATTTAACCATAAAAATAATCGCTTTAGTAAATAAAAGAGATTTGATCAAATTATTCTGTTGTTTTATTTTATTCTATTTATTTATTTGTATAACGTAATTAATATCACAATTTTTTTCTTTTTTTCTTAGGCTTTGATGTATCACTGTCTTCATCTGTCTGTTGGAATTTCTTTAAGTCTGCACAAAATAGTACCTAAAAATAAAGAGATAAGGTTTATTATTGAACTCTTTCAGATAAAATATTAAAATAAACAGAAATCGTATTTTTGTAGAATCAACATTCATACAGAAAATGTCAGGCTTTTGGAGGTGATATCAGAGAATGACACTTTTGTAAGGCTATAAGCATACAGCAAATTTCCTTATTTTATTTAAATATATATAGACAGCAGTGTGCGACAACATCAAAAGCCTGTAAGTGCCCACTGCTGACCAAAGGCCTCTTCTCACACAGACAAGGTCTGAGCATGAATCACCACGCTTGCACAATGTGGGTTGGCAATTTCAAACTTATATGTAACTAGCAACTTCCGCGCGGTTTCACACGCTCTGCTGCGCTCCTATTGGTTGTAGCGTGGTGTTTTATAGCCTATAGCCAACCTCGATAAATGCACTATCCGACACAAAAAGAATTATTCAAATCAGACTTGTAGTTACGGAGATTAGCGCGTTCAAACAAACAAACTCTTCCGCTTTATACAATAAAGTATAAGATTAGAAATTATAAGCCCAGCTTTCCTCACGATGTTTTCCTTCACCATGTATCAGTGGTGTCTAAATAATCTTAGAGAGTACATACAACTCTAAAAAAAGTCACATTGGAACTTGCTGTTGGTAGGTTTCGAACCCACATCCTAATGCATGAGAACCGGACGTTTTAAACCTCCGTGTGCGACATAATATGTATGGATTTGATCTGCAAAACGGCTTTAGAGATTTTGATGAGATAATAATAAGGAAACATACAGTATGTGCCCATCCAGCCATGTCTCCATATAAGTTTCTGAAGTGGTCTCCAATTTCTGTATACATCTTCTCAGTGACACTTTTCTTTCCTTTTAAATGTGGGAGATAGTTCTGTGCGGCGATCTGGTATACATGTGTGTCGACGGGGAGGGCTTCCAAGTGGTTCAATGACATCAAGCATATGCAGTCTGCTACCTGGGAATTTAGGGATCAAAGGTAAGATAAAATGTACTATACATTTTGAGTTTCATAATTAGTTTAATTCAATATTTGTACAAAGTAGGTACGTAAATATTACTGAATGTGTATGGATTAAATTAAAACTTAAATTGTGTATAGAATTTAAATTCGGTTTCATATTTATCTCTGTCACCTTTATAAAATTAACATATTACTAATATAATAATAATTATTATGTAAATGTTTAATGCAAAAGTTTGTATGTACTTTAGTTAATTGTTTACTTAAAAAGTACTGAATGAATTTGGATAAAATGTGGCACACAGGTAGACTATAGTCCAGATTAATTTAGAAAAATATTTAGCAAAATGGTGAATTATATTTAGCAAGAATCAGACAACTCCCACCCTCACCCAGGCTGAAGAAGTCATTTTATGATCTTCACCCCATAAAAAAAATACATATGTATAACAATTACCTTAGGTCCAATACCATGTAGTTTCATCAACTCCATCTTAGCATCCTTATACTTCATGTCTT